TTTTTTTTTTTTTTTTTTTTTTTCTTCTTCTTCTTCCTTTACTTGAGCTTGCCTGGCTACGCCACTCACACAAATGGGGAAAGAAGCGAACAGGCGAAGAAGAAAACAACAAACGAGGTCTGTCTGCAAATGAGCAGCTTCTCCGTAGGGTTGGATATAGACACCAGTTCGACTGTCACGATGGAGAGTAGCCTAGTATAACCGCGCTGGTACTTTCTCTTATCAGAACCTTTTACAGTTTTACTGGGGTTGTCTTCCTTCCACTGCTTACGCTGGACCCCTGGCTCGCAGGATAGACTAAGGTTGACCTTCCTTGATGAATATCCACCCTCTCTCACGTGTGGCAACTATGTACGTGTGCCCCCGCAAGAATACTTCCTATGTATTCACCTTTTAAGAAACATCGCATGGTTAGTCTTCTATTTTTCCTTTCCACGGTCATCCTTGTGGGTAACGATTTCTTCCCAACGGCTCCCAGCGGAACGGCCAAACTTAGCCGCGTAAAATATGTTCCTCGTTTAGCTGCTCTGAGATATGCAGAAAGGGGGAGAGAGGGGGGGGTAAGTTGAGTTGCCTTTTTTTCTTCTTCACAATAATATTATTATCATCAGTTGAAGGGATCCTGTTTGATATGGCTTTGTCTGCCTTGGCTTCCACTGTCACTTCCTCTCACGTGCCAGCTTCGAAATTTAGCAACTTCGCCTCGCCGTCACTTCTCTCCAATGGTCCCCACTTCTCTGGAAGCAGCCCTTACGTTATACTCACTGGGAAAATCTCTGAAGGGGGCAGTACAGGCATGTGGGATGAAACTTCCCGCCCTTGGCAGAGTTCCATAAAAAAAATTGACTACCTCTAAAGGACGGCGGCTAAATGTCTCCGTTTCGATTTTAGAGATTTTTAAAATGCTTTCTAACAAAAGGGAATATATCTAGCGGGGTAAACTTATCGTCTCGTCTGGAAGGAGCACTGGTGTTGGTTGGTGTGAATCAATGTAGGGAGAAAGGGGCGGGGCGCTATGTTGCTATGATGCGATGCTCCTCTGTGCAGTACATGCCCCCTCTATAAGCAACATGAGTTAAAACGGGGGAGACATTAACCACATGTACGAATGGTACAGTAGCATTCGCCTTGCTGGACGAAGAAACACAGCAGCGTTGTGCTCATCTCATCACTGCGCGCGGCAACGGGGAGCTGCTCCGAAGAGGCTTCTCCAGAAATACTACTCAAGAAATGCTACGCCCAAGTCGTTCTTCTGACATCACGCGAAATGGCAAATAGGCAAACTGGCAAAGTGGCCAAATGGCAAACTGGGGAACTGGTCAAATGACAAACGGGCAAACCACCAAATTGCCAAACTGCTAAACTGCCAAACTGCTAAACTGCCAATCTGCCAAACAGTAACATATCCAAATGGCAATAGCGCGCGTGGGAAGATGCCCAAATCGCGCCAATGGACGATCAAGCAACCTTTCGCGTGCGATCATCTGGCAGAAGTTGGCAAACGATCAGCAAAGTATTTTTTCCAAAAAAAAAAAATTTCCTAAAAATGGCCCCAAAAAACTCTGCTGGAAAAAAATTGCGTGAATTTTTTTTTTTTTTTCTTTTTTTTTTTATCCCCGCGCAAGCGCGTACACTATATGGGAAAACGGGCACGGGGGGAAAAAAATACCCCGCCAAAGAGGCTGCAAAAAATGGTAATAAAAAGGAGGCATAAAAAATGGAAAAAAAAAATACTTCTGAGTTTTCATTAGAGTGAAGCAAATTTATAGAAAAAAATATGACCCTAAAAATGGGAGATTTAGCATTCTAACAGGCTTTTTAACCCTCGCGCGGACTTCCTTTTGACTGGCGGCCATTTGCTACCTACCCAACGTATATAGTATGTAGTAATACCCCCTACGCCCAGTGGGTATACTTCCCCCAGGCACCTTGCAGCGTTAAGATTTGGACGTATGCAGTTTCGCGCGAGGGAGGAGAGCTGCACAAGCGACCATGGGCATAGTTATTATGGCCTACCAAGTATGCGTAGCTGTTCTGTCACTTTGTTTTGCTTTTCTTTGCTTTGCTTTCTTTTCTTTCTTTTCTTTCTTTTCTTTTTTAAATTTCTTCACCGAAGGACAACGCGCGATCAGTCCCGTCAGTAGCAGAAGAATAGTCACCTTTGCTACGTTTCCCGTTTGTCCACGTGCCACAGGGAGAGGCTCCCCCATGTGGAAGTTTCTTCCCCTACTTCGACTATCATTTGGGGAAAGACCCACGCGCAGACAGCAACGGGGAGGCTCCTCACCCATTTGTTGCGAACCGCCCTCAAAAAAAGAAAAAAAAAAAAAAGTTACTCCTCTCACCGAGAGGAAAAAATTATACACTTGTGTTCTGTCCAACGAGTGACGACGGAATAGGTTTGACTCCCTCTGGTAGCCCCTTCACTACAGGGTGTTAAGACGTGTCTGCATTATCGCAGTGGTAAGCCGATTATGGTCCCAAAGATGGAGGCCCCTTCGCCTAGGTAGTCACCATTAACAAAGTGACCAATCCCTGTTAAGATCTGATGAATAAACGACGCGGTCAAATGATCATATATTAGTGTAACTGCAAAGGTATGCTTACACAGAATGTTGCCTTAACTTGTTGTGAATGCCGCGCAGGCGTCCCACTTTAATCGGTGTATCTCCCTCTCCCCCGACAGTAATCACAGTCCACCCATTCGAATGAGTAATGAGGGCAGTTCGGCTTCGCTTCTTTCTTTGTTAACTTCTATGCAGAGCACAATTTGTAGTTGCCTCTTTTGAGGTGGCACATCCCCTTGGGCACTCCTCTCCATGGTGGGAATTTTCCTCATATGGTGCACGGCAGGAGCTGCTATGACCCATTTGAGTGGCGTCTTCCCATCCAACCCACTTTTTTTTTTCTTTTCTTCTTTTTTATATCTGCCCCCCCCATCATGTCATATAAAAATAGGGCAAAGATAAATGCCTATCCAGGTATCCCTACAATACGGAGTACACACAAAATGAACTCTCCCCATGTGACTTAAGAAAAAAAAGATGTATTATCCAACGGAACAGCGCGGTGAGAACTCTACCTAGTGCGATAAAAATGATTGAAGGTTCACTCTGGCAGATGGCAATATTTTTCCCTCCGCAGCTACGTTAATACAAATTAGAACATTGTTTCTTTCTGTACCTATGTCCACCGAGTCGACTGGATGGCTCTATCATCTCGGGGGGCTGCTACCACTCATCCGGTGCATTAGCAAATGTGGAAGAAGAAAAAAAAGGCCGCACAAAGCGGCGTTCACTACCACGCTTACGTGTGCACAATATGTATATGATATGTGCTATTAGTATTACATAGGCGTTGCGGCATAACAGCAAAAGGAGTCGTCTCTTTAATTGAAGAGGTGATCCCTCGACATGCGTCCCCTTTTTGCAGCTGCACGGTAACGTTATTTTTAACTGTGCCGTTCGGGGAGTCTCCACATATGCCTACTAAAAGTAAATTCCCTAATTGTACAAGTAGAAAAGGAAAATATTTTTTTTTTTTTTTTTTGTTTGATCTTTTAAGCTGGGACTATCCCGTTAGCCAAAAACGGCACAAACGAACTGAGCTGCGTGAACAGAGGAGATCAGTCGCTCTTGTCATACGGTAGTATATTATACTGTCCTCGTTTGTTTCGCCCTTTCGAGATAGGAACGGAACCTGATCGTAGCACCATCCATTTGGTACGTGAGGAAAGTCCAAGTAAAAAGCTATACCATTTTCCCCGCGCGCTCTTTTAAGATAAGCTGCAGTGCGGTTCTCCTAACCGTGGGCTCTGCTTTCCCCTTCGCAGTTTATAGTTTGCGGCTTGCGTCCCACAGTTTGCTTTGCACAATTCACTGTTTCGCGATTTGCTTTCTACAGTTCACCGTTTTCTGTTTTTATTTTTCCTCTTCTTCCCATCCCTCTGGAAAAGTTACCGCTTATCTGTGGGGGACCATTTGGACCGCGACAATCTGAACCTTAAACACGCTTAGGGTGGAGCAGGGAAAGCAAAAGGGGAAGAAGAAAGAACGAAGAAGGAAAAACGAATAGGGAAGAAGAAAGAAGAAGAAAAAAAAAACGCCCCTACAGTTATACGTCCTTATTATAAAGTTCTGTATATACGTCCAACAGTTGCATGAATTGGCAGGAACAGGCCTACCCGCTTGTACGTGGCGATCACTACCCTCTGACTATAGCAGTTTTTTCCACTGCATGTCAGATTTCACATGAGTACACACCCTCTTTGTTAAAGGTGCCCTTTTTCCTTTTTTTGGAAGACAAAGGGGTGACGAAAGAGGACAAAATTCTCTCTCCTTTCGGCAGCATATCGTACCAAAGGACAGATACATCTAGCACTCGCCCCCCCGCGGGACGTTTGCACTTACCATATGTACCTTTTTCATTTATGCACATCGTCGCCCCCCCCTTTGCTGCTCCCCACCCGCTTGTTAACCCTAACCTGATTTCGCCGGGAAAATATGTGCAGGTGCTAGGGGGCTACCCGCATTTGTATTTGTTAACGGCGCAGAAGGAGAAGAAAGTGCAAACTGTGTTCACGACTTGAGAAGTGGCTATTTGTGTATATACTTACGTGGATACGAACGGAAGCGACTGCGCCGTTCTTCCGCTACGCCCCAGGTGATCCAGTGACACATGGAGAGTTCTTTTACGAGTACCCATGATTTGTGCAAACATCCTTGTGCAACGTAACGCGAACGGGAGCAGCTAACGACCTCGAAGTAGACAACCGAACGGAGAACGGAGGATTCGCGCCAAAGCGGCACGTCAAGCGATACATCTAGGGACACGTTAAAGAAATAGGTCACGCGACACGCAGCATCGGTTTGCTCGACCGCTTTGCTTCTCCGCGGCGCTCCTCCGCACGAGGCAGAACCGAAGATGACGCTAAAGTTCGCGATCCGAGAACCCAAGGTGCGAGTCCTGTTCTCGCCCACCGAGTTCTTCGACACCCTGAAGGGCATGTTTCGGAGCTCCAAAAACCGAATCGTCATCAGCTGCCTATACATAGGAATAGGCGAGCTGGAGAAGGAGTTAATAGTAACCATAAAAAATAATAAGAACATCAAAAACCTAAGAGTGGACGTTTTATTGGACAAACAAAGAGGTACAAGGCCAGAAGGGAAGCTGAACGAATCCTCCGTGAGTGTGCTCTCCGACCTCTTCAGCCATGGTGGCGACATAAACATTAGCTTATTCCACAATCCGCTACTAGGAGCAATACTGTATAATATTATGCCCTACAGAGCCAATGAAGCCATTGGAGTTATGCACATGAAGGCGTTTATCGGAGATGACCGTTTGATTTTGTCCGGGGCCAACTTAAGCGACAGCTACCTTCGAAACAGACAAGACAGATATATTTTGATTGAAAATAAATTATTAGCTGACTCCGTTCATAAAATTGTGAATTGCATCCAGAAGATGTCGTTCAGGTTGAATGTTGATTCGAGTGTCTACTGGGACAGTGACTTGATGAACCCACTCGTCGACGCTCATACCTTCCGTGAACAATACTACAGGCGGATACAGTTCGTGCTGGGTCAGATCAAGGAGGACATTTTGCGGCATACCAAAGGGGAGGTGGAAAGCCAGATGCTAGATGGCGACTCAGGTGGATGCCGCTTACCTGGAAGCCGTCCCCCCCCCACGAGCGAGCGAGAAGACTTCTTCAGCCCCCAGTTCGTCAAGGGCGAAAGCATCCTGACCGTGGAGCTGGGGCTGCAGAGCGGCTTCTCCGAACCCCCTATATACGACGAAACCGACATGCTGGAAAGCGTGCTCAAAAATGTAAAGAAATATGACCAGAGTTTAATTATATCATCAGCGTATTTGAACTTCCCAGAAAATTTTTTAAAATTGTTTAGAAATATATATGACAACCTCTGCTTTAAAAAGGGCAAAATACGCTTTATTACAGCGTCCCCGGCAGCTAACAGTTTTTTTAAGTCCAAAGGTATTTCCTACTACATACCCCTTGGCTACACAATCAGTGCACACATGTGCGTTGAATTCGTCACCAAAAATATTGTAAGCGTTTTTAAAAATTTAAATAGAACAGACCCTTTGAAGAAAAAGGAAAAGGCCTACACAGATATTTATTTAGAATATCATAAGCCGTCCTGGACCTTCCATTCCAAGGGGATGTGGCTGATTGATGATTCCTTCGGGAGGGGAGTACTTCGCAGCGACACCTCTGGTGAAGATCCGCATGTAGCCAGAACCCCCCAAATGGAAAATGTTCCAAATAGTGTTTGCACTAGCCAAAATTATGAACAGTCAGAAAAAAAAAAAAAAAAATCCCCTTTTGGAATCGCTAACTCTCTCCGTTTGTTCAATAATGATCAAAATTGCCTGAACAGGTCAGCTACTTTGGAGGAAAAAAAAAAAAAAAATGTGTGTGCAAATATTTTAAAAAGTGAAGAAATGGACCATAATGAACACGATGGCGATAATCAGCTTGATACCAATAATGCTACATCACTTACCCAAAACTTGGGTGACCTACCCTGGGGAACGGTGATTGGAAGCTCCAACTACGGCTACCGAGCAACGTACAGAGACTTGGAGATGAGCTTTGTGATCAAAACAAACGATGAAAATTTGAAGCGCCAGTTCCAGAAGGAGCTGGAAATCATTTACGAGTCTACCAATTTTGTCCACATGGACGAGTTGAATTTGAGGTACCCCCGCTGGCTGCGACTGCTGTTCCCATACCTCGTGCGATGGTTGCTGTGACGGAGGTGGGGAGCGCCCAGATTGCAAATAGGCGACTGGAGTCCCTCGGGTTATCTGTGTATTCGTCCATTTGTCTGCTTATCGGCCCACCTGTCTGTTTATGTGGCCCATTTTTCTGCTTATCCGTTCACTGCCATTTTTGTCTATTCGCTTATTCCTTTCCACCCCCATCCCCTTTGCGGCGCCGCACCAACTGCTCGCCAGGGCCAAGAAAACATCGCGCGGGGCTCTTTTTTTTGTTGATTTATTTCCCCCCCCTTTTGGCAATTCGCAAAATGCCTATGTGTATACACACCTTCTTGCCATATTTGTGCGAATTGTCCACTTTTGCCAAAATTTTTTTTTAAAGTGTCTCCAAAATTTTTTTCTAAAAAAAACGGACCTATGTATTCGCTGCGTGTGTCACCCCAAATGGCTTAAAATTCCATTGCCCCACGGTGTCCTTCCCCTAGCTCGAAACATCCTGCTTAATTTGTCCTCAAGAGATTTGCAAAGGGCGGAAAAAAATATGATTTTATTCTGATGTTACTTTTGCAACGCTTCTGATATTATAGGGGCATTTGAAAACTGTTTCCAACGTGATGCCTTTTTTTTTTTTCTTTTATCCCCCATCTTTTACTTTCCTCATAAAAATGCACAGTTTGCACTTAGCACAATGGCGGGGTCACCAACGAGAGGCCCGCTGTGTCGTTCCACAATGGGCGATTTACAAAATGTGTACACGGCTCGTACAGTAATAAATGTGCCATCGCATTTGCATGCAGCTTGGTCCGCGGTGATATTTTCATCCCCGTTAGGAAGTGATCTTCCAGCTTTTGAACACAACGCGGTCGCCTCCTGTGCAGGGGGGTCCACAAAACAGTTCGACTCCCATGCACATCCACCTCGTGCCCCGCCTAACTCGAAGAGTTAGATTAGCACTCTGATTATCTGGCTATCCCGCTACCTCTTCACCCATCCCCGTGAAGGAGCGTGTTATCCTCTCGAGATGCAAAAACGTGGAAGAGGGGACGGGAGCCCTTCTTCGCCTCATCAGCGCAGCAACGGGGGGAGCGGAATACGCACCTCCCAGGCGTCGCAGCATCGCACTGTTGTATCGTTTTTGAAAGAAAGCGCGGTATTAAAATGAAACTCCGCCTGAATGACTGTGCGGTTGGCTCCATTCCCGATTGCTCTCCTGAGTAGTAGCTTTAAAGATAGGCTCATTTCATTTTTCCTTCCTCCGCATAAAAAGGAACCACTGCACGAACATCCACATCAGCTCATTCCTCTCGATGACCACTGCGGAGATGTTTGATAGGGAACCACTTATTTGAAGCTCCTGAGAGTGTAACGAATAGCCACTCCTGCGAAAGCAACCACTAGTGCCGCGTCAAGGGGGGCTATACCGCAGATAGTGACCCCCTACACAGGCGATCGTTGCTAAGAATGCAGGGAATGGAAGAGAATAACATGGAGACACAGAGAGGGGGGGAGGGAACGAGCCGGCGCGAGATAGAAAAGTGTGTAAATGGATGTTCGTCCTTCAAGGTGCAATAACTACAACTGCACAAGGTGAACTTCTACTCGCGAACATCTACCCGCGAACTGCTACCCGCAAACTATGAAATTTTCTTCTTTTCTTTCCCCTCCGCTGGTCCTATTCTTCCTCAATCAATTTCGCGTTACACTCGCCTACAAGAGCGTCCCTCCCCGGGGGATTACCAAACGCACGAGCAGTCGCTTCTCGCGCCACACGAACACCAAACGAAACGCACTCTCCGTAAGGCAGCCCTCCCAAGGTAGCTGCTTCACCAAGGCAAGGTTACATAATGAACCCTTGGACAAGGAGTTCCAACTGTTTGACAAAGCGAATGAGGAGGAAAATTCCCCTCCCGTTTTTCTGAACAAGTCAGGTGAAAATAATCCCATTAAAGACACTCTGAGGAAGACCAGAAAATTTTGCAATTATTTGACGAGCAAATTGGGGAGACTTAATAAAAAACTGCGGGAAATAAAAAAACTGGAAATCATCTTCTATGCGAACCCAAATATATTAACGGAGAGCCAACAAGTGAAACTAAGCAAAAAAAAACAAATAAAAAACGAAATTGTTTTAATCCATCGATACAGGAAAAAGTACCTCGCTTACAAAAAAAACCTGACCAAAAATGTGGACGACTTGTCCCCCTTTTTTTACACCAAGCGGAAGACCCGCCAAAAGCGGCAGGTCTGCACCCCCCAGGAGTTCAGGAAAATATGTACGCATCCATGGGCATGACGCGTCAAAAGTGACGAACAGAGTGGAAATGGACAGAGTGAAATGAACAGTGTAGAAATGAACCGCGCGGGGAAGCGCAGCAGAGGGGCCTCGTCGATTCGTCGCTTGGTTGCCTGGTTTTTCTTCCATTCGTTGGTTCCCCCTCCCCCTGCAGTGCAATCGGACGACCCCAAGGGAGTCGTCCAACGAGTGAAAAGCCTAAACTACGACCAGATCCCCAGGAACGTGACCGACTACTTAGTGTTTAACAAAGTGGGCACGAAGGAGGAAGTCAAAATTCTCTTTGGCCTCAAAGCTGTGAAGATAAACGGAAACATACGTACAGGGAAAAAGGCACATAGCGCGAAGTGTGCGATGGCATATACATGTCCATTCGGCAGCGCGCACTAAGCAGGAGGTCCCCCCGCCATGGCGAATGGGGAGTTTGTTCCAATTGACCTCACACATTTGTCCACGTTGCTTCATTTTGTTCCGCTTCATTCTATTTTATTTTTTTTTATTCTTTTTTTTTTTTTTCGCCGCCCCTCCCCCCAGTGGACGATGAGAATTACCTGATAAACCCGGGAGAAGACAAAGTGGAAGTGTTCAACGAGGAGGTCCAAATTCACGAAAGCCAGTAATGCAAAATGGAATGAAAAAAAAAAAAAAAAAAAGGGGTGCTGCGAACCAGTTGCACATTTCTTGTTTGTTGAATAACGTCACCGTCGCTTTGAATGGATTTGTGCAAAAGAAAAAGTTTTTACCACTCCACTGAGCCTACCCATGGGGGTGGTTATCCAATTACACACATGCGTAATGAGTGGTGTTTTTTGTTTTTTTTTCTCTCTTTTTTTTTCTTTTCTTTTCCCCCAGTTGGATAGCTAGCCAAATTGCCCCACGTCTGTCCCTTCCCCCATCTCAGCTACGTTGTAAGGAAGAGGTTTTCGAAGAACCAAAAGAAATTCCTCGAGGAAAAATCCAACGAGAAGTTATCAGATATCAGACGAGAGATTAAAGAGTTCGAAAACTTTTTCAACATAAAGGAATGAGCGAGGGCACACATGCTCATTAATGAAAAAAGATTTCCACCTCCTCTTCCGCGTCGCAACGGTGAAGCAACTGTCCATTGAAGGTTTTTTACTAAGGGAGGCAATCAAAAATGGCTGCTTCTACGGGGTGCTCCTGTTGGGGAATACTATCCCTCGGGACAACTTAGCCATTTAAGTAGGGTTGTTTTTTTTTTTTTTTTTTTTTTTTTTGTACCCCTGGGAAGTGGGCTTCTTCATATCCCCCACTTTCGTACACAGAAAAAAGTATGCATGTATTGAGGAACATTTCATATGCTCACGTACGGATCTTGACCTGAGGCGCGAGGACATCATTCTACCAGCAGGGACACACATAAGGAAGTACTTAATATATATTTTTTTATGTAGGAATACGTTCTTTGCCAGTATCAATACGCTCTCTCATGCAAGATGTATGAGCGGTGTTTTTGCCTTCCCCGTAGTGCCAGGTTCCACCCTTCCACAGACTTTTTTTTCCCACCCCCTTTGGGGGATGCACCCAACTTTACAAACAAGCACATGTAGGTTGCAGAGTTAAGAACACCAGGCGTTTGATATTAAATTGTATTACATCCAGATGGAGTATCACATCTCATGATTGATCCTATTTTTTTTCTTTCACACCGAGTGCGTTCTAGCGCTATTAATGGATGCCTGCCTTTTTATAGTGTGGCCGTCGCAAATGTACTTAAGCACCTGAACGGTTCACGTCATTTTTTTTTTTTCTTTATTTTTTTTTCTCTATTTTTTTCTTTATTTTTTTTTCTCTATTTTTTTCTTTATTTTTTTTTTCTCTATTTTGTTATATCTCTATTTTATTGTTTTATTTTATTTTTTTTCCCCTTTCTCATTTACCTTGTTAAATTTGCAATTGTTTTTTTTTTTTTTACACAACGTTAGCTCAGTGGCAAGCAGCCTCCACAGCAGTGAATGAGCAGTTCATGCTAATGAGTTTTCACTTGGCCTGTTGTGACGTCCGTCCGCATTTACTCCGGTCGGCACTCACCCCGGTCTGCATTCTCTTCCGTGAAACGAACGGTCGTTCCACGCAGCGCCAGGTTAAACATGTTTCGGAAGAACTATACATAGGTGTCCTCCTAAGAGGGGAATGATACACTTTCTAAAGCAGCACCCTCCTCTACATTTCTTGACAAAAAGGAGGAGGTATACTCTCCTTTTACTTGTGGCTGTTTTTCCGCCTACCGTTTGTTAGTCACCGTTACGTATTTTGTCGCGGTAGAGTATCAACCGCATTCCACCTGGGCAATAAAAAAAAGTAAAACGAAGAAAGCAAAATGAATAGCATCACGTTTGACAATGTACTGCATGCCAAGTCGTACCGACTGAACCTCGATGACATCCAAAACCTGGGGTCACTCTACTCTTCCGAGAATAACAAGAAAATCGCCAAATACAATGAGGAGATCGACCTGCTCAAGGAACAGTAATCAGCCACAAAGCGCAGCCCCACGGGCGCCTATCAATTTGGACGTCTGCATATTAGCACGTCTGTACTTCTATACTTCTGCATGTCTATACTTCTCCACTCCTTCTCATTCACTTTTTCTTTTTTTTCCTTTCTCGTACCGCAGACTCAACTACCTGAATGAGAAAATGGGAAAATGGTAACGAGCAACGAATGTGCGTGCCAGCGATTGGGAAAGACACGCAGCCGACACGTGGTGATACCAATATGGCATATTCTCTGTCCATCCCCTATCCCTCCGCATAACCCATTTTGTGTCTCCTCCCATTCCCCATTTGCAGTGGACACGTGCACAAGGTTATGGAGCCTGCGAAGCCCTCAGAGTTAACCTTCTGGTGTTACGAATTGAAAGAAATGGTAAGTCGTCGAAGTCATACCGAGGGTGGAGAGTTCCACGATTGCCCCAGGGGGGAGAGAGTGGTTCATTCGATTGTCACGCCGTTTCTACATCTCGCCACCTCTACCCCGTGATGCCTCCACACACGGCCATCTCAACATCGTGATGCTTCTACACCTGGCCGCTTCTACACCACCCCGCTTCTACACCACCCCGCTTCTACACCCCTCAGAAAGAATTTCAAGACCTGGTGATGTACGAAATAAAGAAGAAAAAAAAGCACTTCAAAATCCTGAGCCAGAGCTGCGTCAAATATCTGAGCAACCGTGAAAAAATAAAACAGAAGAAACAAGAAGAAGAGGAGAAACGACTGAAGACTCACTCCAAACATATCTCATCCTACATGGATATGTTTTGGAAAAAAATCGAGAAATTAGTTTGGGAAGAGAAGAAGAGGGAATTGCAGAAGACGCTAAATAAAAAAAAAGAAATGAGATTTAAAAGGTTCGTAAAGGACGCAATCAAAAAAATTAAACGAGCTAGACAAGGGAATGTACATGAGCTGTTCGTCAACAGACACTCCAGTGTAAGCTCGTGCAACCCCAGTGAGAACGTTACGTTTTCTTCACACCAGGATCCCACGGGGGGAAGCAACGACCGGAGCAGCGTGGCCAGCAGCAAACGGCTCAGCAGGTTAAGCAGCGAAGGGGTGAGCAGACGAAGCAGCAGACGAAGCAGAAGACGAGTGAGCGCGGGCAACTTGGAAATGAGCACCGCGCGAGGCAGCCCGAACAACACCGAGGGGGGCGACGTGCAGAACTTGGCGGACGACGAGCTGAAGGAAGAGGACCTGACGAACCAAGAAGAAGAAGACGTTTTGTTGGACGAGCAAATGGACTCGAGCGACGAGTCGGAAGAAAAGGAGAAGGAAATCAACCTTCTGGATGACGAGGCCAACATGCCCATTGAGGAGCTGCTCAAAAGAATTTACGGCTTTAAGAGCGGCGAGGAGTACCTGGATTTGATGCAAGACGGGGGGGGAACAGCTGATGAAGAGGTGGAAGAGGCAGATGAGGAGGACGCAGCGGAGGGGGGCACAGCAGAGGAGGGGGAACCAGGGGACGACGAAGGGGATCACCACGAACGGGACCACCGCCAACCGGTCGAGTCGAAGGCGAACGAGAAGAAAAGAAAGTTCGAAGAAGTGGAGGAGGCAGCCCCGCCAGGCGAAGGCGACGTGAAGAAGAAGAGCGACTCGTGTGTCGAAGGAAGGAGGAAGAAGAGGAGAAGCCGAAGCAGAAGCAGTCACAGCCGCAGACGTCACAGCGGTAGGGACAACCATACCGGCACCGATAAGGATAACGGAGGGGAGCAGAGCGACTCTTCCGTGTCCAGTACCTCCAACGACGACACGCTGATGTGCAACATGGACGAAAAGCACCTAACGAAAATACCGCCATTCATAAAAGCGACGCTGAGGGATTACCAACACGCAGGGCTACACTGGCTACTATATCTTTACAAAAATAATATTAATGGAATTCTGGCGGACGAAATGGGATTAGGGAAAACATTGCAATGCATTTCGCTTCTCAGTTACCTGGCCTACCACTTCAACATATGGGGGCCACATCTCATCATTGTTCCGACGTCAATCCTTATAAACTGGGAGATCGAATTGAAGAGATTTTCTCCATGCTTCAAAATACTCTCCTACTTTGGAAATCAAAATGAAAGATACAGAAAAAGAATCGGATGGTTCAATAAAGACTCGTTCCATGTCTGCATATCGAGCTATTCCACCATCGTTAAGGATCATATGATTTTTAAGAGAAAGAGATGGAAATATATTATCCTAGATGAAGCTCATAATATAAAGAATTTTAACACAAAGAGATGGAATATCATCCTCAGCTTGAAAAGAGAAAACTGCCTTTTAGTGACTGGCACTCCTTTGCAGAACAGTTTGGAAGAGCTGTGGTCTCTTCTCCATTTCCTCATGCCGAACATTTTTACCTCTCACTTGGATTTCAAGGAATGGTTTTCCGATCCTTTGAACTTAGCCATACAGAGGAGTAAAATAAATGACTCGAGAGAGCTCATCGACCGATTGCACACAGTCATAAGGCCCTACATTCTGAGGAGGTTAAAAAAAAACGTGGAAAAGGAGATGCCTAATAAATATGAACATATTATTAAGTGCAAGTTAACCAGGAGACAACAAGTTTTGTATGATGAGTTCATTCAGAACAAGCAGGTTCAGAATACACTCAGCAGTGGAAACTATATTGGCTTGATGAATATACTCATTCAGCTCCGAAAAGTCTGCAATCATTGTGATCTCTTCACGAATAAACATATTCAGACCCCATATTATTATCTTCTACCTATCACTTTTTACATTCCTCGTTTTTGTATCCTCTTTGAGAAGACCTACCACCTTGACTTTCACCTTATTTTGTTTCTTCACAAGGAGTTCACTTCGCTGGGCGGCGTGCCTCCACACCGTGAAGCGGCGGGGAAGCGTATATCTAAGGATCATAGTGATAGGAAGAGGGACAACCTTATAACTGTCCTTCCAACAGACCCATTGGGCTCTTTCTCCCATGTCTTAGCGGCACCCTCGGAGGGAAACCCCCCTTTTGGGGTCATTCCCCCTTCGGAACAGTCAACTTGGGGGCTCTCCACTTTTCAGTCCATGCAGAGGATAATACCCCAGGAGGGACCAAACAAGGGGTACACCACAAGTAGTTCCACCGATAACAGGATTGATATCATCCCGTTTCAGGCGTTACCAAACGGGGGGAAAACGACACTGCTGCCGCCTCCCCATAGGGACAACACTGTCGACGAATCGCAAATGAGACATCCCCTGGCAAATCCCCATGAAGAGACAACAACTGGACCGTATAGCCCCCCTCAGGTTATCTGCCCATTTCAACGGAGCAGCTCTTCCACCGGGACTGTCATTACCTCTGGGAAGAAGAGGGCACGTGCCCCAAGTGGTGAAATCACTATGAAGGTGAACTATCCCCCTAACGGAATGAACACCGGAGTTACTTCCCCTGACAAGATAGAAAATCTCTTCCCTGTTCACTTGCGCCCCGATGGAGGAGGTGCCCCCACAATAAACATCGAAGATGTAAACACGTACGTTAATAATCAGATCAACCGGAGAAGTGTTCCCAGAAATCTGCTCACCTACTCCGATGAGTTCCTCTGCGAAATGAATAATAATTACGACATTATGAGCCTTTTTATCGACCCTGGTAACAAGCACCGCTGTTACGATGAGTACCTTTACCGAACGGTGAAGGACGTCTCTCCGTGTGGAGTGGCCACTGGGGGGCGAGACCACTTAAACAAGGCAACCTCCCATAAACATCCAACCAGCGAGGTGGCAACAAACCGCTGTCGAAACTTTCTATACAAATATAACATGAAGGTAATCAACACCGACACGCAGTATCGAAATTTTTTCACCGATGAGTCCGACCAGAGCTACGTTAACTCCCTAGAACACAATTTGTGGATTAAAAGGCAACGGAGATTTGAAGAGAAAGACAGGAGGAGGGAGGAACAGCTCAAGGAGAGCTTCTTCAATGAGTACAATTTGTTGAAAAATAATAGGACCCCTCTGTTTGGGACCAATCTGCTAAGCTTACTTCGGCGTGAATTCTCCGGGGATGGCTTCGTGCCTTATCACTCGAGTAACAATCTCCCTGTGGAGTTTTCGCCCATGCGGGGGGTGCGCGCGATGGCGGTCAAGGACGCCAGCGAAGCGGTGGATTCAACAGCTGCTACCCACGCTGTGCACCTCTCCGGCGTAGCTGCCACCCACGCATCCGGCTCGGCCGCCCTCGAGACGCTCTTCCCCACCATGGAGCTCTTCCTGAAGAGCCATCAGCGAGAAATCCACAACTTCACCGTGCTGAATACGCCAGCGGTGATCTGCAGCAGTCACAGAATCGCCGTCAACAACAATCTGCTGCAGAATTGTAGCCATATAGAACCCATCCTGCACAGAATCAAAGTAGCCACAAGGGTGTACCACGAACCCTTCCACAAGCAGTCCATCATTTTTCCTTTAAATAAAGACATCACCTTGGGCAGTGGGAAATTGTTTGCTCTGGAGAAGTTACTGAACAAATGCAAAAGGGAAGGAAACAAATGCTTACTCTTCACTCAGTTTATTAAAATGCTAGACATTCTAGAGATCTTCCTGAACCACCTCAACTATACCTTCATCAGACTTGACGGATCAACCAAAGTAGAACAGAGACAAAAAATCGTCACAAAATTTAACAATGATAAGTCTATTTTTTTATTTATCTCTTCCACACGTAGTGGCAGCATAGGAATAAACCTAACAGCAGCCAATGTCGTCATTTTTTACGACACGGATTGGAACCCCTCCATCGATAAGCAGGCCATGGATAGATGCCATCGAATCGGACAGACAAAAGATGTACACGTCTTCAGGTTTGTCTCGGAGTATACTGTAGAGGAGAACATTTGGAAGAAGCAGCTTCAGAAGAGGAAGCTAGATACCATCTGCATAAGCATGGGAAATTTTAGTAACTTGAATAATGAGTCCCTCCTCCAGGGTGGTAGGGGTAGGGCCTCGCTTAGCGGTGAGAAGAACAACCCTTCCAGTGAAAGGGAAGACAGCCATCGGAATGTCCCGCCAAGCATTGCAGATGTGCTGAACGGGGGGGGAAACACGATGCAGAACAAAGACTCCCAAACCAAGGACTGGTTTGCTAACGCGGATACGATTAAAGAGATATTTGTTAACAAAAGGAACAACGATGAGGATGAGGATATTTACAAAGACCGACTTCTGCATGAACACATGGACGAATCGGAGAAGACCAACGTACGATTTGAGAAGACTCTGGAGCACGTAGAGGATAAAGACGACATCAACGCTTTGCATGAAAATAAGAAGGAGACACTAAACGCCATTTCACAGGACCTGCAAGAATTCACCAACAGAAATGACTTCCAGGATACGTACACTCTCACCTCCTACTGCTTTAACTTTCTTAATGATAATCTGACGGATAGCTTGAAGCAGCAGATCGACGAAATGAAAATGAAGATCGAAATTGAGATGATGAATGTAGGTGAGGAGGAGGACGACGACGAAGATGGGGAAGATGACGAGGAGGACGAGGATAACCGAGATGACGAAGATAACCAAGACAACCATCGCGATGATGACGACGACCCCACCCTAGACGAGGCGTCCCCTTCGTCGTCTACAGAAACGGATGGTTTGCACGGGGAGTGAAAAATTCAACCACTCGGTGAAGGCGATTTGCCCCCGAGACACACAGGGCGGGGGGAGCCTTAACCTCCTGGCAAGAGGCTTCGCCGCTCCCTCGCAGCGATGTACCCATTTACTATTCTTCCTCCTCGATTTGTGCACCTATGCTTTATGTGAGTACCTCCCGTGGGGAGCCGCAACAAACTTTGGCTACACCATTTTGCACCACGCCAAGTGTCCTTTCGCAAGGCGTGCTGTGTATATGCACAGAAAGGGGTGTAAGCCTTACAGCAAAGCTATATTACCCTCGCGGTGTGAAAAGGAACAATTTTGACTTGACGGTTTTTCCCCCTACGCTGCCTCCCATTTTGACCCTGATCAACGCCTTTGTAACGCTTTAAAAATTAGTCATTCTTAAAACAGCATCGAAGGGGCAGTAGGCCCCCACACCCATGAGGAGAGGAAAAAGGCTGACATGAAAAAGGAAAAAAAAAAATAATAAAAATAAAAAATAACATAAAATAAAATAAAAACAACAGTGCAGCTTTTCACTCCCAGAGTGGGCTAAACGGTACTTCTTCTAAAAAGCGCAATTTATGCGGAAAGTCTTTGCATAGAGAACTGCGCCAAGACTGTACATACGCACGTGGGCCACACGCATAAGGAACCATCCCTCCAAAAAAGTAGCTTCCACTGCGGCATGCAAATTCCATGGCGCAGCGAGAGCACAACTACTGATCGATTGCCTTGTGACACTATTCCGACGACTACACCGAAACGAAATTAAAGAGGCACCTAATTTGAAGGAACGTCAAAAAATGAGTAACTAAAGGGATAGAGGTACCTTTCACAACTACAACGCTCATCCACCGCAACATAAGCTTCTTTCCCCCTTACTCGATTGTTCCCTTTATTTCCCATTCGTTTTTTTTGTTTTTTTTGGAGAATAAGAAAAAGCCTAAGCAACCCTTTGAAGGGTGCACCTTGCTTGAATGACGTGAAACTGCAATCGCCCGAAGCAATCTGGCTGAAGGGAACCATCGCGAAAGAACAAATTGTACTTTCCGCCTCCAAGGGGAGGGCCACAGCTCAGGAAGTGGGATCTCTCCTAAGAGCATAACTGCGAACAGCTTTATGCAACTCCCCTATCCCAATCCGGCCGAATCGAGATGGAGAAAATAGCCCTAATACAAAGTAACTTCAGGATGAAAAACCCTACGTAGTGATGATAGGGGCTAATTGAGAGTGCAGAAAAGAGGAAGGCATGTGTTAATCCCCCCTTTTTTGGTGAAACCGTCACATTTTCAACTGCAACTTTGCTGTGCGCAGACCCCCTGGATTATATTCGCTTAAACATGGAAGAGGAGGTGTTCTTAAAATGCAAAGGAGACAGAGAAATCAGAGGAAAGTTAGACGTAAGAACTGTTTTTTTTTCTTCCCTTTTGAGAAAGCGGGTCTTTCCACACGGGACGTCACATCGGAACGTTCCGTTGAGATGATCCCCGGAGGCATCTATATATCGGCATATCTCCATGGGCATGCTTTTTCCACCCTGCCTGGATGCCGCCTCATCGCACACTCCCGCTTATTATGCACCCCGCTACACCCCCCCAAAGGCATACGATAACCACCTGAATATGATCCTGTCCAACGCGCACGAGACGTACAAGCAGAGCGTCATGGAGAATGATGAGGAGTCCGTAAAGGTACGCACGGGACGTACGAGATGCACGATATGCAGATATGCACGACACGTACTCCCCTACTGTGAATCCAAAGTAGCCAGCTGAATAGAGAAACAAACAAATGAGTAACCGCTACAATGATAGGCAGTATCCACGACGGAACCTTCCCCGCAGGGACGAAAGGAAAAAATGAAGAAAGCTTAATAAAAGTGATGGAACTTTTTCTGTCACATGGGGAGTACAATGTGTGCATATTTTTACATGTACGTTATATACCTAGTTGTTTTTTCTTTTTTTTTTTTTTTTCTTCTTTTCAGAAAATCGAAAGGAACCTAGACATGGTTTTCGTTCGGGGTGACTCCATCATCTTAGTGTCATCGGCAACGAAGTAGGAGCAGCTTTCCTCAAGGGGTAGAGACGACAGTCACGTTAGCACGTATTCACATTACCACATGTACATAAGGCCGCTTCTTCACATGTGTGTTCGTTTGGCGCGCCCCCATTTTAGCATCATCACGTACATGCGACTAGCGTTTGTCTCCGCGCGGTGCCGACCCATTTCTTGCATCCCCTTAGCATACTCCCCATCTTGGCACATGCAGGCCATTGTACGGGTCAAATTTTCAGACCCCCCCCTCCATTTCTCGCAAAGTTATTTTTTATTTTTTTTCCGGTCAATTGCTAACAAGCAGTTAGTTATATAGGAAAATTTTGAACTAGAAATTTTTTTAAAAATTGCCCAACGAGCATAATGTAGACATGCTTTAAAAAAAAAAAAGAAAAAAATCCTCCCCCTGTCTGCATTTCCTGTGTAACTTATTGGTGAAGCGAAAAGGAGCTTTCCCACAGTGGCAAACCATGACAACGTTAACAAAATGATCCACCGCGCATAACGCAGGAGTAAACATTTGGCCCATGCAGAACGGGGAAAGCTTTTTAAAAAACTGGAAGGGAAATCATCAGGGGGAGGAAGCGGCTCATTCCGCCCCATTTCTGTGTACGCACTTCTCTGCATCTACTTTCGGTTGTAAATTTTTGTTCCTCTGGAGGTTTGTGCTGCACGTAACGCGTTTGACGTACCCCTCTAAGTTGTGACTCCACACGGATACTTCCCCATATGGGCGCGCTTCTCCTCGGCTTGGCAAAATGGAATATAAAGAAAAGCCCGAGGGCCCCTTCTTTGTCTCCTTTTACGTAAAGAAAGCAAAAAAATAGAAAAAAATGGCAGAAAAATGCGAAAATAAGGGGATAAACGGGGCGACTTCTTTACAACCCTGCGTCTCTCTGCTTCTTATCCCCATTTAACCACCCCTCTTCCTCTCCCCCCTCTGTTAACAAAAAAAAGGTGACCAACTTCACGGCATCCGACGATTTAGCGTCGTACAAAATAAACGTAACAGGTGGGGGTGCTTTCTAGCGAAACGCACAGAAGTGACAAAAAAAAAAAAAAAAATCCAAGAGGGTAACAACAATATGAAAATGATAGACACTTAAATATGCAGATATACATACGTGTGTATTCCTTGGGCATCATCTCCAATTTTTTATAAGCTTTTTTTTTTTTTTTTCCCGCGTCTTCCCTCCTTTTGTAAGATTTCTATGGAAACTGCTACGAGTCCAACCTCATTGGAAAGAATAATTATCGCCAGATTAGCTTCCCCAGCAACTACATCGAGATATGCGAAGGTCCGAGCGATGCAGAGGGTGGAGACCCAATATGTGGATACCTCCGCCCAGTATCGTAAAGACAGTAGCAACTCTGTAGATTTTTCACCTTTCTGTCACCTCCATTTGCTGCATGCACCAACTTACCTTTTGCAGAAACGGCCATCGACGACATCATCCAGAGTTGCATACAGGTGGACGTTTTCGCAAGAAATAATAACCCTGAGGGGGAGCCGAAGGATAGGAAAAGTGATGATAGCGCTGACGATAAGGGTGATGATAAAAACAGAAGTGTAAACAACGGCGGCGATAACAGCACTGACGATGGCCTGAGTAGCAGCTTTGTGCGCATCGGGTCGGACCGCATCAAGGCCTTCCCCTTTCTGCACGACCAGCTAATCATTACGAGAGAGGTCGTCGCGTCGTACAAGTGCGGAGAGCGAGAGGGGGAAGACCCCGCAAATCAGGATGACGCAGACCAAGCGGGTGAGCCGGGGGGTCCCGGCGAAAGGGGCGACAAGAGCGACAAAAGGAAAAAAAAAAAAATTGCAGACAAGCATGAAAAGAAAAAAAAGAAGAAGGAGAAAACAAAAAGTAACTCACGAAGGGACGAGAAAAAATGGGAACACTCTCTCAAAGCCGATATTGACATAAGTGCGTTTGCCACCATGTGTGTGTCTCTTCCCCTCTCCCATGGGGGTTGTGCCCAACTCACCAAATTGTTCACCCCCATTTGGTCTACATTTGCCTAACCCGTTCATATTTTTTGCGAATTTTTATCAAAATTGTATGGAAATTTTATCGAATTTTTTTTTTCTTTTTCCTTCTCCCCCTGAAAGGTTTTCACATCACACTGAATATAAATTCCCTGGTGGGCCACTACAGCGGGAGGTCCTCGTACAACATAATGAGCGTGAAGGTTAACTTGGAGAATCAATCCTGCGAGATGGGCCATCCTTTTCTCGTCCTCTAGTTGTAAACCATCACACTGTTCATGTGTACAAAAAGAAGGAGCATGCTCATTTGTGTGTGTGTTTGTATTTTTTTTTCCCGGCGGCGTTACAAGGTTGATGGGGTGTACAATATCCCCAAAGCGATTGATGACAAGATGGCGAAGAAGAATTCTCACACATTTCAAGTAAGCGCATAAGAAGTGAACTGGTATAGAAAGGGAAAGAGTGGGGAGTGGGAGCATTCACTTCTATGTGTCTCACCCGTATGGTTCACTTATTTTTGTTTTCTTTCTTCTTTTCCTTTTTCTTTCCTTTCTTTCCCCTTTTAGCTGAAGTTTTTGGACTTTTGCCTAAACGATGGGGCTCTCGTGGAAGGTTAAATTGGGGGGGACCCTCCTCCCAGGTGCCCCATCGAGCGATCCCACTTGGAACCACTCTTCGAAAATTCCCGCCCATACTTCTCCTCCCCTCCAGATGAGCAAGACAAATACAAAATTGTGTGGAAAAAAAACAACCTGTACAAGTACAGAAATATAAAGGTAGTGTAATCGATCAGTCTGGAAAGAATAGTCTTGAATGAACAGTAGGGGAAGGGACGCCAATGTGTGTACGCCCCGCCGAATGGCTCAACCTCAGCTACAAAAAGGAAAAAAAAAAAATTCTTTCCTCATGCGTAGGAAATTGAATATATTTACAACTTTCTGTTTTACGAATCGTTTAACGTGAATGCATATTTGCTGTGCGTCAACGAGGGGAAGAAGCAAAGGGGTAACAAGGAAGAGTAGACAAAATGAAGAATCGCTAATGGATTGGCCAATTTTCTCTAGAGAGATGTGCGCACAGATTTGTCCTTGTCTGTGCGTGCTTTATTCCACGCGTGACAGGCAAGCATGCTGATATATTTCGCTCCATGCAGCTGTCGCACGTCTCCCTTCAGACAACGCCGCCCCGAGCGTGATGGACGCCCTCTGCGGAAGGTTCGAAGTCAACATTTCGGACGTGATAGCAAACACAGGTAGGGAAAAAAGGGGCTGTCTACACCCATAGGCAGTTTTCTGTACCTCCCAAAATAAGCGAAGCGGAACAGAAGGATGTCCCCTATTCGGTTGACCAAATTTTGTTCACCTTCACTTTACTTCCCTCCATTCTTATCACCTCCATTTTGAACACCTTTATTTTTATCATCTCCATTTTTATCACCACCACTTTACTTGCCTCCCTCCGTAGTTATCAACGCCAAGTACCAACTGCACTCCATGAATTCACAAAAGGGGGAGGCGAAAAGTGGCCGGGAAAATGAAGCCAACGAAGAATCGTTTGTCTACGCAGGGGCTTACGTCCTACTGACCATTCAGTTTTACAAGCGTATGGGAAGAGCAGCTCGGGAAGCGGAAAGATACCAGGGCGTAGACCGGCGCGCCTGCACTGTGTCTATGTGTTGTGCACTTACCTAAGAGCTTCCACCCTAGAGTTCATCCCCAGAGATGACCCCCTTCTACGGTACTCACCACTCCTCTCTGCACTTACGAAATCTTCGCAAAACTCGCCCACATCCCTGCAGCCTTTTTCAAGAGAGAGAAAGTGGAATTCCCCCTGCGGATTGTTAACGTGAAGGGAGGCGCTCCAGGGAGCGATAAGAAGGAGAGCGAGTGCGTCGAGAATGTGTTTAACAGGTAGGGTGTGTTAGATGTTAGTAGCATGGGTAAGCGGTCCTGCTGTGAATCCTACCAACGATGCTGCAGAACACAGCATTGGAATATCGTTTCCCAATACCGCTTCGCTGCACCGCTCCGCTTCATCAGGTCCATCCTGGAGGGAATCCAGTACGTCAACCTCCAAATCGACAAGCTGAAGGAGGAGGATCAAGTAAAGATTTACAGAAAGTCCAAGGAGTACGTCTCCTTCCTGGACAGCTTGAGGGAAACGCCCACGTACCTCAACCTTTACAACAATATGAAGGAGGTCATGGTAAGTCGTCACCGGAGCGACTTGCTTGTCTGCATGTCGGGGTCGCTGCGTCACGTATCTAGTTGTTTGTTTGGCTATTTTCCCATTTGCGGCGAAGAGGCCACCCAGTCGGCAAGAACCCAACCCAACCGAATCTTCCGCTCTACCCCGCAGATCAAACTGGCGTACGAAATTGTGCAGAAGAAGGTGTACAAAAATTTTAACCTCCATGATGAGGTGACCTGTGAAGAGGAGGACAGTCAGGAGAAGGGGCAAACTACAGAGCAAACCACAGGACAAACCACAGAGAAAACCACAGATCAGACAACAGAACCAACCGCGGAAAGAAACATGATGGGAAAGCCCCCCTGCGGAAAGAAAGCCATATCAGAGGAAAACGAAAACTGCATCCTGGCGCATCTCTTCAACCTCGTGCACGAATCATCCAACGTGATAATCAATGACTACTTCGAGAAGGAGAACCACCTTAACATGAACACACTACGCGAAATAAAAAAAAAAAACAACATCACAAATGTAGATAATTACCTATTCAATGTGGTACAGGAAAGCGAGTTTTTATTGAAGCATAGGAAGACTGCCCATTTCTGTGAAGCTATGTTGGTTTTTCTCTTTAGGAAGATAACTTTTTCCGGAGAACATACCCCAGGGAAACAACATCTGTCACAGTTGGAAACGCAAGATTGTAACCATGTGGTGAATATGCTGCTACACTACTCGGAGTATGACGAGGAGAAGGACGACACACAAAGGGACAATTACACGTACGAAAAGAATAGGAATAATAAAAACAATAGAAATAATAAAAATAAAAGAAATGAAAAAGACCAGGAAGACATCTTAACATGGCTGATACGCGCCATGCAGGAAAAAAACGCCAATTCTTACTTGTTCCATTATATGGATCACTTTGCTGAAGTGACGCTAAACGGAAGGGGAGAAAATCGCTCGGCGGAGGGAACATCCGAGGAGGTACCCCCTGTTGAGGCACCCCTTGTTGAAGCATCCCCTGTGGAGGGAACATTCGTGGAGGACGCTGAGCAGGAGAATTTCATCTCAATTATAAACTTGCCACAAAATGAAGAAATTAAAAAAATATTTATCCATGTCCTGTACACATATGCCAAAACTTTGCTCATAATAAGTAGCAACCCCGCTGGCGAAGCCCACAAAAAACGGCAGCGTGTGTACTACGAGCAGTACTGCGTGGAGAGGAGCGAACGGGCAAAGGACAACCTTTCAGGGGAGGGGGACAACGGGGGGACTGCCCCTAACGATCAGATCTACGACAATTTCGAGTGCCACAAGAATTTCGACTCATACGAGAAGTACCTGGACGCAGAAAATGCGGACGCCTGCATTTCGTGCCTGTCAGCCTACGTTGAACTCACCAATTTTGTAAGAAAAAGGGAGCAGGGGAGATTTACTCCCCAGAGGGTGCAGTCACAGTTGGGCAGCAGCATCGACAATTGGGCAGCGGCATCCATAATTAGGTGGCTGCATAGACAATTGGCTGGCTGCATCAACAATTAGGTGGCTGCTCCACCCCGAATGGGTTACACCTCATTTGGGGTGGCGTGTCCTTCGCGTACACCCCACGAAAACCTTCCGCTGTCCCCCTTTGCAGGAAAACACCGAAAGCATTTTCACCTTAGCCCTGGCGTACCTAAACATCCACAAGTATGCCGAGGCGGAGAAATTAGCTAGCTATTTGATAGAAATCCTGAAGAGGAAAAAATGCCACAGGGCAAAAAAAGGAGCACCTCCCTCTTCGTTTTCTTCTTCTCCTTCTCCTGCTGCCTCCCCCCCGGGGGAACCGCCAGCCGAAGAACCCCCCATGGACATGAAAAAGTTGCACCTGTACAGCTCATTTAGCCAAACCCACGTAGACATCACTGTAGAGATTTGCGTCTACATAAAAGCCTTGTGCTTCTTCTTCCAGCGGAACTATGTGCACTACTACATTAATATGAGTATCCTGATGAGCGCCAACGAAAATGAGCTGCGAGTGGAGGTTGAGAGGAGTGGCTCTGCGTTGGGGGGTCATACGAGGGGAAACGACCCCAGCGGAAAAAGTGCAAAATGTGAGGAGAGTGAAAGGAAAGATAAGACGAGGCCCTCCCGCAATAGCGGCAGCGTCAACAATGTCGGGGGGTTGTCATCTATCCCAGATGATGCGAGTGACGAGGCGGGAGGAGCCCAAGAAAAAAGTACGAAAGGGGGAGAAGACACACCCCAAGGGGACCCCAAATGTAACGCAAATGGCTTGAATGACCAACCTACAACAGACAAGGAGGAGCCAGAACAGAAAAAAGAACAGGAAGGCGCAGAAGCGAAAGGAAGACGGGACAGTCAAAGAGAACAACCAACCCTAGGGGGACATCAAACCATGGAGAATTGTTCCGAGACGAACTTGTACAAGGACATCCCAGCGAAGGACACCTTCATGCTATTGTTTCTGATTCACTGCACCAAATTGAACTTACTAAATGTCGTGATGTTCATTCACGAAAATCGGCGCAAGTTTCTAACTCAGTCATCCTTGGACACGCCTGTGTACAGGCAGCTCATCATCCGTGCGTTCTTTGCTGTGGGAGGTGGGGCCCCAAAGGAGCGCTTCGAAGAAGGGCATCCGTGTCGCGCACAAGAGGTGCTTCTCAGCATCACCTTCACGTCGACGCTGCTTCTCACCCCCATGCTTCTCCTCCCCCTCAGAATTCGCCAAATGTATGGAACTCATAGACGACACGAGTGAGCACCTGAGCAACCTGGACGTCCTGTACATTTATGCGCAGAGTGCATATAAGCTCGGCGACTACCCGAAGTGTGTATCCCTTCTGAAGAGATATCTGCCTCTGTGTAGATTAAGCAACGTCCGCGTAAAGATGCACCTGCAGTTGAGTAAAATTTACCTCTCGTTTGGCAAATTTGAAGACAGCAAAACGGAGATAAAGAATTCACAACAGGTGTGCACGACTAGCTATTCCTATCTCTACTTGGCTTCTTACTATTTGAAGAGAAGAAAATACCTGCAGGCGTACAGGCTGCTATACAAGTCCAACGAAATGAACCTCTTCAATCACAAATTGTGGGCATATCTATGCATGGCCTTTTTGCACCTCGGGATGCGGGTATGTGTGTGGAGCGTTCTCTGATCATTTATGCTTCCAACTGGAAGAGCCACATTGTCGTGTCTGTTTTCTCCCTCTTCAAGGGAAGAGATGGAGGGTGGGGAAAAAAAAAAAAAACCCAACGAAACGAAACGGAGGGGGACAGTTTATTACCTCCCCTCTGTTCTTGGCTGACCCCAATCTACAGGACCAAGCTGATAAATGTTTAGGGAACTTTATAAAAATGAAGAAATACAACAAGGCGATTATTTCCGAAATGGTAGAGTCATACAAAGAGGTTGGATATGTGGAGGGAGGGCAGGTGTTGTCAACTCTGCAGGCAGGGGGAAGCTGACGTAGGCGGGAGGGGGGTATTTACTACTCCGTGCGACATTGTCCAAGTTTCGCAGGGAGCATAGCCAACCGGGGGCAGCACTGCCTTGGCAGATGAGATTCGAAACATTGCCATCAATCTTGCCACTCTATTTGCGAGCCATTTTGCGATGTGCCCTTTCCTCGATCCCTTCCCCCCTCTGCGCACAAGCAAGGAGAGAAACAAAACCACCGGACTTCTAATGGGGGGTAGCCTGCCCTAGCTGTGCCCCCTCCCATACGGAGGAGGCGGGGGATGGGGAAGCCTAGGCGAACTACCCCAATTAATGCCAAACAAACCACTCACATGTCAAAAAAAAAAAAAAAAA